AAGGGGAAGTGCAAACACCATCATAACATTGGCCTAGTTACTGGAATGCATGAACCAGCAGCTGCCACACCGAATAATGCTTTGCTAACTTGGTTCCTCGCATCTATAATTTTTCTTGTGGAGGTCCCAACTAATTAGAAATGTGGATCTAAATTTAGGAGGTTTTTGGCAGAATTTCAAAATTGCAATTGGGTTGTTTAGTTTTGTTGATGTTGATAACTTTTACTTGTAGCTGAAATAGAATGAGCGGAAAAGAGTTATTGGTTTCCTTTCGTCTGTGTCGTTGTCTCCGATTACTAGAGGCATTTAAGGCTAATTGAAATTGAATTGTTTGACATGAACTATCGGACTACTGTACAGATTATCTAACTCAATGAGGATCCGATATGTCATCTGAGTGTGCTTATTTTAGTTTATTTTTTTTGGGTCTGAGTGCTTGTTAGTTTATTTGGGCCTGAACTGAAGCGCATTGTCTTTTTATTATTAATTTTTCGATGAAATTATGTAAATTTGAGCTTGTGATGTTAACACTTTTGACGTTACTAATTGCACTTTTAGCTAGGTTAAGAAAATATTATTTCTTCGTTGCGGGAGGTTGAAGACGTTTTGATCTTTTAATTCTTTTCCTGTTTTGTCAGATTTAGTAATCAGTTGGTTTTCAACCTTAATTAAACCGGATAAAAAGGGACCAATAAGAAATATATATCTTTTTATCAAACAATAAGAAATATATTATTCTTTTTTCGTCAGAACAATAAGAAATGATTTAGGGCATCATTTTATCACAGAACGCAGCCCAACTAAAAAACTCTCTCAAGAAGAAGCCCATATTAAGCAGAGCAGAATCTGAAGCTCCTTCAAAAGACTAGACTAGAGAGAGAAGCAGTTTGTTGATCGAATCCTTGAATTGAAGCACAGCATCAAAAGAGGTGATGGGTCGCCAAGCCGTAGCCAAGCTGATCGGTTCAATCGCATCACGCAAACCATCTCCGTCTCCGTCAACTTCTATTCTTCAGCGTCGACATTACTCCCCGGCTCCGCCACCTCCGCCGGCGGTGTTTGTCGACAAAAACACTCGCGTCATATGCCAAGGAATCACCGGCAAGAATGGCACTTTCCACACCGAACAAGCCATCGAATATGGCACCAAAATGGTATCAATAACAAACATGCCTCTTTCTCTCTTCTTCTCGTCTCTTTTATTTGCTTTATTGAGTTTTTGGGGTTCTTCTTCTTTCTTCTATTTTTGTTTTTCCTAACCCAAGCTCCGAAATCAATTACGGAATTAAGAAAATTATGCTTTATTCTAGTGCCGCCTGAGATTATTTTGCTGTATTACAGTTTTGGGATTTTCATTGATACCAGTACTGCATTATTTGTGCTTAGATTCATTTTCTCATTTGCTTAAACATCTATGTCTCTTACTATCAAAAGGGGAGTTTGAGTTGGTGAAAATAATTGGAAAATGAGTTCTTGTTGACATGTGAAACTGAGAATATGGGTTTCTTATGCTAATGCATTAAAATTAAATGGACTCCTAGATTAGAATGGTCACGACTTTTCACAATTAATTGACTAAGTTTGAAGGTTTGAATTTCCCATGATAAGTTTTCCTCTGAAATGCTACGTAACGTTATAAATTATAATCACCTTCTTTGTTTCAAACTGTTATGTATTTTTCCTTTTTTTCTTTCATTTCTTTATACTATTGTGCTGAAACAGGTGGGTGGTGTAACACCAAAGAAGGGTGGGACCGAGCATTTGGGACTCCCTGTTTTCAACTCAGTTGCAGAAGCAAAAGCTGAAACAAAGGCTAATGCCTCAGTCATTTATGTTCCCCCACCATTTGCTGCTGCTGCAATTATGGAGGCAATGGAAGCAGAGCTGGATCTTGTTGTGTGCATCACTGAGGGGATCCCGCAACATGATATGGTAGTATATTTTTATCATTTTAAATACGAAAGATAAGTTTACATGTTCATACATGACAATTTGGATCTTGGGTATAACATTTTGTCTTGTCGATATAATTCAATTTGTATCACAATCCTATTAGCTGATATGTCAGTTATCAAATCTTTTGGGACTTGCAAATGCTTGGTTATTGAGTTTTGTCCTTCCTGGACTATCATATGATTTGGAATGTGAACTTTATTGAACTTGGTCATGGCTCTTATTATTAATTTCAGTTCACTGCAAGCCCGGTTGTTAAGCTTGAGTTTAGTGTTCTGTGATTCATGTGAAACTGTCCTTGAACCTAATAATTATGAATTTCAGGTACGTGTGAAGGCTGCTCTTAACAGGCAATCTAAAACTCGGCTCATTGGACCAAACTGCCCTGGAATTATCAAGCCTGGTGAATGCAAAATCGGAATTATGCCTGGTTACATTCATAAACCTGGTCGTGTAGGAATTGTTTCTCGATCTGGTACCTTGACCTATGAAGCGGTGAGTACTAATTGTGACCCAGAGAGAACTTTCTGATTACGATGTATGAAGGGAGAAAGAAATCTTTTGCCTTTCCAACAGAAAATTTTGATACTAATTTGGTTTTTCGGAAGATTGGGCACTATTATTATGGTCATATCTTCATCCTCTTCTTGTTCGATGTTTGGATTTTGTGGGTACCACCTCCAAGTTACATATTATGCCAGTTTTCTTATACTTCTAACTAATTTTGCCCCTTTACCTTGCAGGTTTTCCAAACAACTGCTGTTGGCCTTGGACAGTCCACCTGTGTTGGTATTGGAGGTGATCCTTTTAACGGTACAAACTTTGTTGATTGCATTGACAGATTCCTAGAAGATCCTCAGACAGAAGGTTAGTAGTTCGTATTTTTTGGTGGCATGATCCTCAGACAGAGCTTGCTTCTATGAATTTGCTCTGGAGATATATCTATGCACTCTATTTGTTTATGGTTGCATGTATAGGTCCATGGTTTTCCTTTTACTCACCAGATCTGTTCGTGTTTTAATGCGTGACTGTGCTTCATGTAAGCTATTACTAGTGCTCATTTACAAAGAATGTTGTGTATCATATAAAAAAAATCAGGATACTCTGGGCCTTAAGAGCAAGTGTATAGAATTCTCTCTCTCTCTCTCTCTCTCTCTCTCTCTGCCATTTGCTTGAAATATTTATATCCATCAACTATAATGTTGGTGGTTGCCCATTTGTAAAGTAATGAACCTAGGCTTGATATTTTGTGATTCAGATTTGTGTGGTGTGCCTCTGCGTGAGTTCTTGAATACTTACCATTCAAGTTCAACCTTCAGGACTTTTGTCTTTTCTAATTGTGGATGCTCGTCTGACTGTTTTTGATTTCTTAAAAATTCCATTGAGCACATTTTATTGATATAGTGTTGTATGTTAGCTAAACTTCATTGATTGGAAAAGAATTATTTGGATATAAGAAAAACAAATGAAGTAACTCTTGTGTGATGAATTTTTTTTTTATGTGCCCCTTTTAACTTGATGTAAGGTTTCTTACCCTTTAATTTGTGCGGATGTTTTGGGTAAGATGTACAGAAAAAAAAAGTGTTGAAGTGGGGGACATGTGATTTGAACGTAATTCTAGGATGTATGTGTTTCAGGTATCATTCTTATTGGAGAGATAGGTGGGACTGCAGAAGAGGATGCTGCTGCATTGATAAAGGTAACAATCCCACTATCTTTAAGCCCCACCCTCTGAGCAGAGTAGAAAGTTTGATAAACCCTTTTAGCATTTCTATTTATAACATAGTACTCGTAAATATGCTCTACGAGTCAAGAATTGAGTTTTGCTACGGGGATAACCAGAGAGAATTATTTTTTTGTTGACCCTTACCTTTTGAAGAATCAATTGATCCACATATTTAATTTTAGATGAACATTTTAAGATAAATACTTGATTTATTTTCAGTTTGTTGTAAAAGAAATGGTCTCTTCCCTTTCCATTTAAGGAAAGAGTCCCAACCCCACACACACACACTCGACTCTCAGCTTCGTAAATTCTCGCAGTTAGCTTCACTGCTACCATCTTTATCTGTTGTCTGTATATGGGTGGCAACTGATTATCTGACCAATCAAACAGGAAAGTGGAACTGAGAAGCCTATTGTTGCTTTTATTGCTGGACTAACTGCTCCTCCTGGCCGTCGTATGGGTCATGCTGGAGGTATATTATTCATTACTCTCTCTCATTTCTCTCTCTCTCTCATTGTCTATGGTTGAGTGTGCTTTCATATCATTCTCATAACATGATAATCACATATGTTGCCATTGGTGGCATCTGCTTGTGCAGCTATTGTGTCAGGGGGGAAGGGTACAGCACAAGACAAAATCAAGACCCTTAGGGAAGCTGGGGTGACAGTGGTGGAGTCTCCAGCAAAAATAGGGGTTGCGATGCTTGACGTCTTCAAACAGAGGGGCCTTGTGAATTAGCTTGGACAATAGCAGTTCATTTGCAGTCACCTGCCTATAATGTTTTATGGCAGGATGCCCAAAACAACATGATTGTCTCCAATTCTTCACTGATTACAACTGTGGTAGAGCATTTGAGTGCTCAGAGTTTTCCCTGCCGTTTGCCACATTGGGTGGTGTTTGGGGATCCATTAATTTGTTTATGAGATTGTTTTTCATACATGATGAAGTATTTTGAAGGGTGTCCAGAATATAAATATAAGCTCTTGCAATAGAGAAGCGCTTAGGGCATGGTTGACAGATTATGCACGTTTTTTACTTATAAGTTTAAACCTGAATACGGAGCCAACGGCAATTTTGTAACAATCTGATTGGTGACCCAAAAAAAAAAGGGTGGGGGAGCGGGTGTGAGGCGATGGATGCGCGCTGCCTGCACTTACAAATCCTTACCATACACACTATGGCTTCTATTTTTGTTGATTTATCAAAAGATTCCTTCCCACCCTACCGTTAAAATTTATATTATCAAATTATTGCTACCGTTAAACGTTACATTATCAAATAAAATAAAAGGATAATAAGAATAAAGTTGGGGTTTTTCTCTGCTTCCCGCCTTCCTTCTGAAGTCAATAAAACCCTACAAATCAATATAAAATAATAGTCGGAGGAACAGACAGAGAGAAAAAGAGAAAAGTCCGGTGGAATCAAAATGGCGCGAACCTCGTCATCGAAGAAGAAGCGCAAAGACGAAGAGGATCCAAACCCAGAGGTGACGCAGCGCAAGAGGCTCAAAGCCCTCGCCTTCTCCAACAACCTACTCTCAGAGGTCCCTGCTAAGCCCCACGCGCCTCTCACCCCCTCAAACACTGTTGTTAAGCACCATGGCAAAGACATTCTCAAGAAATCTCAGCGAAAGAACAGGTTCCTCTTCTCCTTCCCTGGCCTCCTTGCTCCCATTGGAGGCGGTAAGATCGGTGAGCTCAAGGATTTGGGCACCAAGAACCCCGTGTTATACCTCGATTTCCCTCAGGTCTACTACTTTCATCCTTCATCCTTCTCTAATTTTATTTTGCTTGTTTGGTTTCTGAGAAAAATTTTAATTTTGGGGTTTTCAGGGTCGGATGAAGTTGTTTGGGACTATTGTGTTCCCCAAGAACAGGTATCTGACTATGCAGTTCCCTAGGGGTGGGAAGAGTGTCATGTGCGAGGACTACTTCGATAATATGGTCAGCTACTTTCTACAGTCTGTTTGCCACATTGATTGTTAAGTTTCTATTTTAAGGGGTCGTAGAAAGATGCGTATCTTATACCATTTTGTTCATACGCTTGGTTGATGAGCAGTGCAGAACTGTCAATTATGATATAAATTTGAAGACAAGTTGACCTTTTATCATATCATTTGAATTCTTTTCCATTTTCTAATGATTTTCTTTTGAGGGTTATTAGAAGTCAATAGTTGCATGTCTGAATAAGTTAGAATTGCTACTTGTTTTTAACTGGTAACTGATTCAGTTAAGACTCATAGAACTAAGTATTAGTTGGTTGAGAATGAGGCAAAAGAACTGCAAAGCTGATATTTCTTGGAAACTTGTACTCTGAAAGTTGCATCTCATAAGGCAAAAGAACTACATAAATTTTATTCTTGTATCTTTGGGTTTATTGAAATAGCATGTCTTCATTGTATTCATACTAATTACCCTATGCTTGCAACTCCTCTCTTTGTGTACATAATGTTTCAGAGCTATTGTTTCATACAACTTCCACCAAGAATCTTCTTCTTGTTCTTCTTACAGAGTGTGATAACGCCATTTTGCAGCCCCTTTCCAAAAAATCCACATCTTTCGTTTTGTTTGTCTATGGCCATGTGCTTGTTATATGAAACTGAGCTTCTCAAAGCATTTTTTACACATATATATCAGCATTAGCTTTTCATGTCCCAGGTCGTATTTTCCGATGCTTGGTGGATTGGGACACAAGCTGAGAACCCCGAAGAAGCCCAACTTGATTTCCCTAAGGAACTTACTGAGGTTAGTTTCTGTTCATATAGATCTGTTGTGTTGATAAAATGTACATATCATTTTTTGATGATCCACTCTCAGGAATTTGTTGGTTTCAGGGACAACATGCAGAATATGACTTTAAAGGTGGTGCAGGTTCAACATCTGCAAACAAGCAAAGTGATCGTAAAAATGAAACTACATATGTAGAACATTCCCCAAATGTTAATGTTGAAGATAATGTATCAGATGATGGAAACAAGGATTTGGTGAGAGCAACACCTGTTCGACATTCAGCAAGAACTGCCAGAAAACGATTCAAGTACTGGCCTAAACATTTTATTGCACTCACTAGATACTGTCATAAGAGATCAGAAGCTAGGGGAATTAAGTACACACATACTAAATATGCAAACTAGATACATATATACGTACACATATTTGTACAGGAACATACAAACACACACACCCACACACATGTACCTTATAGGTGCTGAGGCCATCTCTGAATGATAATATTGGAAACAAAAGATATTTTTTTCATTTGTGCTGCATTACCATATTTGCCTTTTCAGACCTATCTCATATACCTATGAGTAAGTAGTTCTTATCATCCAAAAGAAAAAGGGAAAAAAATAGATGAAACATATTGCAAATAGTTACAAAGGGCACTGATGCCCAATGTCCATTCTGACGTCACTTATTGAAGGCCTGAATGCACTCATTGCTTTTCAGCAGATGAGTTGTTTTGTGGAAATGTCATGTAGCCTCTACAGATATTAAATATGTAAACTATTAGTCTATTATCTCCATGATATGTTGTGGAACCTTTAATTAGATTATCATAGATAATTAACCATTTTGATATATTTTCTTTTTACTGGAGAATAATAAAAGAAACGAGAGTGCTTGTTCATTGTCCAGAAGGCACACATTTTCCTGTGATGTGTCCACACAGGCTTCAGTGAACTCCTGTTTTGTCACCAATTAATTGTAGATGTTGTATCATGCTCACCCTTCCATTTATCTCTAACATTTTTGTTGGTACAGTTTTGGAAATGCTTCTTCTGGAGATGATTCTTTTGAAAGCGATACTTACTTAAGCGAAGGAGAAGATGAAAAAATTGAGGGACTTGATTCATCATCCGGGAAGCATGCTAGTGGGAATATCCTTATATTTGTCTTAATTTGGTGAATTCTGACATTAAAATTTTACTTTTGTATGTACCCACCAGCTATTTTGTAAATTGAACTTGGGTTTACCATACATTCATTACATCAACCTTCCATCTCAGTTAGCTATACCTTGATTGATTCCCTTAACTGGTAGATACAGACTGAAAATCTCAGCTTTGGAGACGTTGACATTGTTAATGAGGATTCTGTGAAAGGAGCTCAAATTCCCAAACAAAATCAGGAGTCCCCTGTGTCAGAAGCTAAATCAAAGAAACAATCGCATTCTACCTTTGCAGTGACTACATCTGTGGAGGACTCTCATAGAAATCACAGTTCGCTTATTCAGGCTACTATATCTACATTGTTTAAGAGAGTGGAGAAAAAGGTAAAGTTTTATGACTTTTATTGTTAGTTTTATTACTCGTGGGAACTTTTTGTTATGTAGCTATGGTATGTTTCAGGACTATTAAGAAGCCTGAAACTGAAAACCGAAATGAAACACCCGGTCAGGGTGGGCTTCATCTCTGAGTTTCTTGGGCATATGAAAATAAAATAGCGCACCATGCATTGCCATTTTGCCTTCAACTCCTGCTTGATGCTTACCATGCTCTGAAATTTCTGAATTTTATACAGAAAGTGGACTCCAGTATGCAAACTCAAGTACAGCTTCCTTCTTCAAAGGTTCATGAAACACCAAAAAATCCAAAGAAACCTGCATCCACAAAAGGTTGCTATTTTCCCAACTAGTTTTCTTATTATGAATGTATTGGTATCGGAATACTCAGAACAGTGAAAACTGTTGATGTTTTCCAGTTTCTGGCCAGAAGTCGCACCAAACTGATTCAAAGAAGAAGGTTAATCAGGTTACTGTTAGTTCTTAATGGTCCTTTCCACTTCTCCCTGCCCTTTCAAACAACAATTCTGGCTAATTTTTCCTTTTCTTAGCCATGGCTGCTTTGCATCGGAGTGTTACCCCAGCTGAGGTAGTTTTTTGTCCTTGCAGGATGGACGACCTAAGGAAAAGGCAAAAACTATCGAGGAAAAGGATTCAGGTCACTCTCTCTCTCTCTCTCTCAACAAAATCCATATTCAAATGTTATGGGATTGATTACCTTTTTATTATCATGCTTCTTCTGGATAGTTACTTTTTCCCGCTTGTATTATTTGTTTATTCTGAAAGTTATTCATAACAGCTTCTCTTAAGTATGCATCTACATGTGGGCAAGTTAGCTTATAATTGACCTCTGTGTTTGTGTAGGAGGCAAAAGCTTGGCAAAGAAGAAACAAGATGAGGTATGTTTGTGTCTGGGATAATATGTGTTTCTCTTTGTACTTTGGTCATTAGGGTTTCAGTTTCCCAATTTTTTTTCTTCCCTTTTTTTTAAAATTTTAATTTCATTAGAACTTATATTTGTGATTGTTATCAAAGCTCTGCTCTAATTTATCCTCCAAAAGAAGCTCTACTCTAATCAAAATGTATTTCTCAGTGTAAACATAAGATTGTTGATTCTTGTGATTCCCTTAGATTTGGAGGATGGAGGTGGAAAGAAGAGGGAATTGGTTCATTAGAGTGGATCTCTGGCCCCACTCTTGTTTGAATATGATCATGTGCTTAGTTCTCCTTGAATGAAAACTAACAAACCACCGAGAAAGAAGTCTTTTAGAGCATTATCTTACATAGAAGTATGCTTCATATGCTTCATAGTGACGAAATATATTCTATTGGCCATAAATTAGGTTGTCGCGACTTCATAAATGATTTTTCCTAGTATGAATATTTTTGTATTAGTGCAAATTTGGAGGTGATTTATATTGCAGCTTGAGTTTTACTTTCAAGCACGACCTCTTAAATGGTAATTCAAATTGTACATAAACATGTAGGTTGAAGAGGATGATATTGAAGAATTCTCAAGTAGCTCACAGGTAATTTCTAGTTTATTTAAATCTCTTTTCTACTGTTTTGGAGATGGATATATATAATTTGTAAGTCCTTGAAGATGGCACAGAGGTGATTGGTAATTCAACGGTGATGGTATATATCAGATCAGATGGGTTGGTGCGTTGGGTGCTGATCACTGGAAATTGGCATGTAAAGCCAGATGATAATGATTTGTTTCAAGATGTTATTTCCTAGTTGAAACTGTGATTGATATTTGCTAGAGTAACGGACGTATGATCCTCTCATGCATGAGATACAACAATCATATGCATAATTCATGCAGTGCTCTAGCAAAATACCATTTCCTTTACTTTTGTTATTTTTACTGAAAGTGAACCTTAATTGTTGCTCTTGGTAGCCATTGATGGCGATAGCACAACATTTGTATGGAAAAGGCTGAGTTTTTGAGCTTATGCGTTGTGCAGGACACTGATCTTAGTGATGAGGATTGGGCTGCTTGAGATGGTAACGACAGAGGGTGTATAGAGAATTTGAGATGCACCCGTGTCAAGCAAAGTGATGTGATATTGGTCCCCTGTGCAAGGCCCAAGGGATGATGATGATGATGAGGAGTGTTGAAGAGCTTGCTCGCTCACTCGTCTAGTGTTATCAGAAGAGCTCCTCAAAAATTGACACATTGCCTGCCTGCCTGCCTGCCTGCCGCGTACTGTAATCTTCACTTTCTTATTATTTGCAGGCATGGATTGTTTTCATAAATGTTTTAAGATGACACATATGCCCTCTTGTTCCTCTTTCTTCTTTATATTTGATTTTATCCGAGACTAATAAATAAAGCATTTGACATCTTAAATTTTAATATGGACAAGGTATAACCACGGTGCTGACTGTTGACTTGGGATGCTACAAAGCCCTTGAGGCTTGAAATCTGGATGCGATTCAATTTAGTTTCTAAGTATATTTCTAAGCTAATTATCTTTGTTTTTGTTGATTTTTGAGTTTTTGGAAAATGGTTATTGATTGTATTCTGGTTTCACTAATCATTTGGGGTTTTGCTAATGAATTTTTGCACTTCAGGGTTCTGCAAATGAATTTTCGCATTTCACAGTTTCATAAATAAATAATCGCATTTTGGGGTTTCACGAATGAATTGTCTCATTTTGGGGTTTCGTTAATGAAGTTTTCGCATTTTGGGGTTTCACAAATGAATTTTCTCATTTTAGGGTTTCATGAATGAATTTTCTAGTTTTAGGGTTTCATTAACGAATTTTTGCATTTTAGAGTTTCAAAAATTAATTTTCACCTTTTGGGTTTTAGCGAAACTCCAAAATGCGACAATTCATTAGCGAAACTCAAAAATGCAAAATTTTATTTGTGAAACCGAAACATGAGAAAATTCATTAATGAAACCCCAAAGTGTGACAATTCATTGATGAAACCCTAAAATGTGAAAATTCTTTAACGACACATCAAAATACAAAAATTCATTGAAACTCCGAAATTTGATAATTCCTTAGTGAAACCCTAAAATAGGAAAATTCATTCGTAAACAAAAAATGTGAAAACTCATTTGTGAAACCCAAAAATGTGAAAACTCATATATGAAATTCTAAAATGCGACACTCATTAACAAAACCCCAAAGTGCGACAATTCATTGATGAAACCCTAAAATGTGAAAATTATTTAGCAACACATCAAAATACAAAAATTCATTTATGAAAATCCGAAATTTGACCATTCATTAGTGAAACCCTAAAATAGGAAAATTCATTCGTAAACAAATAATGTGAAAACTCATTTGCGAAACCCAAAAATGTGAAAACTCATTTACGAAATTCTAAAGTGCGACATTCTTCAACGTAACCCCAAAATACGACAATTTGTTAGCAAAACCAAAAATGCGAAAATTCATTAACGAAACCAAAAAAAAATTGCGTAAATTTATTTAAGAAAAACCCCAAAATATGAAAATTCATTAGCGAAACCCCAAAATGTGACCATTTATTAGCGAAACCCTAAAGTGCAAAAATTCATAGCGAAACCCAAAAATGCGAACTCATTTAGAAAATGAGAAACTTCAAAATGCAAAATCCATTTGTGAAACCCCAAAATTTGAAATGTCATGAACGAAAGTCCTATCAAGTCGAGCTCCTCAAAAGGAGCCTCCCACCAGCCCTGTAACTGGCTCTTGCTGCCGCTGCTGCTGCTGCTTCCAGTGCTTCCAGTGCTTCCACCTGCTTCTGCTGATGATGATATTTCTTCTGCTTTTGCTTTCATCCTCTTTTGAAGCGCTTTCCCTCGCTCCCTCTCAACTTCTAGCTTGCTCACCAACTCGTTGTGTTTCTTATTCATCTCATCGATTCTTACCTGCCTGTAGGCCTCCACAATAGTATGGCGGCTACGATCAAGAGCATCAATATTCATTATATCATCATTAATATTATCATGGTGCTGATGATGGTGGCGGTGGCCATTTAGAAATCGGTTGGCTATTGAGTCAATGGAGGAGTTAGCGTAGGAAAATGGCTTTCCGGAGGGTGAAAATACCACCGCACCAACCTCAGCGCCGCATAGGGTTGCTAACTCACTGGCCTTCTTATACACACCAGATCGCCTTTTCGAGAAAGTAACAAGGCGATCATCTTGGTTTTCAATCCTCTTCATTTCAATCTTTTGGCTGCCCTTGGTCTTCCTGCCTTCCATGGCCGGAACAACCTCCCAATGATAATATTTAATTACCTTGTACGGAGGTTTTACAAAATATAAATAAAATTAACTCACTGAAAGGAGGTTTTTTCTTTCTCGGTTACTTTGGCTAGTGATGATGATGATAGCCTTTCTTTGCCTTGGTTTGGAGTGTGGAGATGCTTATATGTAAATATATAGAGAAGTGAACCCCTGAAATTTTATGGTATTAGATCATTTGTTATTCCCATAAGTCGTTACTTCCATTTTACGCACTTCAAATCTAAAGAGGACCAAAAAAATTTCGGGTGGCACTTCCAATTTTGTTTTTACCATTATCGATTGTTTATTGTCTTTCTTTTCCTTGCGTTTGAAGAGCCTTTTTTCCTGTACACTATATAGTCCGTCTTGCTATCAAATGGGCGCACCTCCTCCTCTCAAAAATCATAGTATCATACATATACGGTATACTTACTTCCTCCACGCGACATCATAGTTAGGCAATGGAATGTTTTTAGACCTTCTGATTCTGATCATCCATATTGTTAGTTGATCGCTCGTCAAACTTAACGCTTGATTAGCCTGGTCACACTATATATACATGTTCATCAACCGTGATTAAGTTGTATTAGATACACTGAGGGGAGATTTTAATTGCTTATTTGGAAGAAATGAAATCAAGATTGAAATGGAATAGAATCGTGAATGATACACTGAGGGGATATTGTCCTAAAAATGAATGGCGCTATGTAAACTAAATCGACTACGAGAGATTAATTATCAATTTAAGCAAGCAAAACACTTAATGTAATTTTATTTAATAACATAGTTTGGTACGGCTATTTGGCAGTGCCTTGGTCTGCTCCAAAGCAGCTTTTGATATTTTACAGAGATATGCAACCTTCTAATTCCAAGACTTTGCACATATTCATATACCTAGGCTATCAATCATACTGATCAGCCTTAGGTTTAACCAGTTAAGAGTTTAGTAACTCTGTCGTTTTCTGCCCTTGACAAAAACCTCATGCAAATTGGTGGCTTAACCCCGGCAAGAGCAAGTATTGAAGCAGGCAAAGTCCAAATCCCATCCCCACAGATCAAACCAGAAGCTACTGCAGGCACAAAAGCATCTGCCTTGGCCTTGTTCACCCTTTCCCACAGAAACACTATCAAGCTCCCAATGCACATGTCAATGGCAAAATACGATCCCAAATAGAAAGGTATCGCCATTGCCATTGGTAGTGGAACGAAGCGTGCCCTCTTCTTACCAATGCAATCCTTGATCACGTTTATGAGAATGGCCGCGCCAAAGAAGACGGCACAAAGTAAGAGGCAGTGCTTGGGGAGAGATTTGAAGCCTTCCACCCCGAGAATAGCCATGTTACGGTACACAACAGCAAAGGGAGCAGGATAGGCACTTGTTGGTGTGCCGAGGTCAGTGAAGGCTTTGTAGAAGAGCCAAAACACACAGGGAGAAATTACACAACCCATTGCTGTACCGATGACTTGGCTCACAAACATTGAGCGGGGGGAAGCCAAGGTTAGATAGCCGGTCTTGAAATCTTGGGTTAGATCAGAGGCTGTTGAGACAATGTTCATCATAACTCCGCATGCTGCAAGGCCAGCAAGAACACCACCATGTGCGGAGCCGGCCCATGCCCCGATCATGAATATGGCCACCTTTCCGTAAGTGGAGGCCAGAGACCAATCAGTGAGTCCACAGCCATATGCATTACAGAAAGCCAAGGTGGGCGCAAAGAGGTAGATGACCAATATATAGTACCATTTGAGTTGGGGAAATATGTGGGGTACAGTGGCAATTGAGACTGCAGCAATGGCAACATAGCCTCCAACAGCAAACCATGCTGGAATTTGGTCTTTGAGAAAGAGTTGGGTGCGGCGCTGGTCATCATATGAGAGAGCAGAGGTCACAGCTGGAGACACCTGATCTTCAATCGGGAGAATGTTGTTCACATCTTTGGCTCGGAGTTGGGATTGCAAGGCGATGAGGGTTCGACTTAGCACCTTCAAGAAGTTGTATAGCCCGTCACCGAGGATCATGGCAATGGCAATGAAGACCTAATGAATTGATTAAATACAGTACAGGGGTAGGTAAGTTTGAAGATAACAAGTATAACTTGTTAAAAAAAAAAAGGAGTAGTAGAAAAGAAAACAGATCACACACCTTGTAACCTTGAAGGCCATTCATGCTAGTTGGCTTGAGTTCTTTGCTGTACCAATCGCCACTCCTGTTTTCTATGAGAGGCCACATTAAACCCCAAGACAGAATACCTCCAAGAAGAACAGATATGTTCACAATGTAGGGGCAAATCATCCCTACTCCAACATATGTGGCCGAGAAATCAAAGAAGAACCTGCAAATAGAAATTCATGAATCATGATCGATCGAGCTACGTACCACATTACATTACATATATATATAATCGGACAGATTCAAATAAGAATAATGTATAAGTAGTACTTGTTCTGATATGCTTTGAGGCCGAGCGTAGGGAAGCTTACAAATCCACAATCATCTCCAGCAGTATAGAACCACTGAAAGAAACCCCATAAGAAACTGAAGGAGAAGAACTTTCCCAACTCCTTTACTTGTTTCCTAATTGAATAATAATAATCCAAAGAAAAAAAAAGGAGTTTAGATTAGAACCATAAAATAAATAAAAAATAATTTTGAAGGAGGAGTTACTTGGCTAGCTTGGCTCCTTGAGGAGTGTGGAAACTGTTGATAAGATGAGCAGTTGCAGTGCCACTTGGATATGTCAATTTGAAGTCTATGATCATGATCTGAAACCAATCTCATGTTATCTTGACTAGTGAGTGAGTGTTGAAAGAGTTGATCCACTAAAGTTCTTATAAGTTCATTAAGTACCTTTCGAATAGGCACGACAGAGAAGAGGCCCAGAAAGCTGACAACAAAGAGAAAGCCAATGAACCAAAGCAAGCCTGGATCTTTGATATCACTAGTACTGTGGTCTGTGGATTGCTGGGCAATGCGTGCACTCATGCCAAACAGATAGCTCCCAAACCCTCCTGTCAGTTTGTACATTTACTTTACACATTACGTACTTAAATAAATAAATATATAAGCTTGGCATATCATTATATCATACATACATGAATCATGATAGATGATATCAGATATATGATACAATACACCATCAATTTCAATTCAATCATCTTTCCCCTCACTATTTATCTTCATATCATATTGGGACCACCACCACACCACTTGCCTAAACTTAATCTCTTTTTTCTTTTTTCTTTTTTTTTTTCTCGACTTAGTAGGAGCATTTCCAGCTGGAGGGGCCACCCGGACAAGAGACCCCCTAGGCCCCAATCTTGTTTCTTGTGGCCAAAGTTTGCCAAGGCAAGCGTTGGGCTCCATCAACCTGGGCAAGCTGACCTCACACTGATATCAGCAGCCAATTTAAAAATATAAAAATTTGAAAAACAGAAACAAAAACCAAAAACTTCAGAATTTTCAGAATTTTTTTTCTATAAATACCTAGTCATATTCTTCATTTCCCACACCAAAACTCCATACAAATTCATCTCCTCATATCTTATGTGAATAGTTGGCTCTTGGGTTGTCATGGCAATAGATGGAAATGCATCAAAAAAATTACTAAGGTAGTCACTATTCACATAAACAGTAACTGCCCTTACCTCCCTTTGCCTTTTGCCATGGCAAATGAGTGGAACTGCTCTAAGTAAAGTAAGCAAAGCCAATCTTATCCTGCTCTAAAAGTCTCTAAAACATCCTCAGGAGTGAGGACAGGAGGCCTATCAGCAACATGTAATCCCAAATTCTGACCAAACACAATCCGCAGCCTAACGACTCTCACTATTTATTTAATTACATCAAATACTAATAATGTAAAATCATGCCGGCCTAAGCGCAGCAAAATTCTATTTAAATTTAACAACAACATAGATGAAGTATATGCGAAAAACATGGTTGGTTGGTTTTAATAATTTCCTTGTTTCATAAAAGAAATAAAAAATAAAAGAAGATGTCATTTTACAGAAAGAAACTAATAATTAACGACATCAACAAAATCAAAATGAATGAAGCTAGCTGGATCTCATCTTCATCTTCATCTTCATCTTCATGGATGGCAGATGGCAGATGGCAGAAGATCGATATGTTAAATTTTAATTAATGTCATCAGCTTATTAATTAGCAAAGCATAATGAATGAATGAATATAATGAAGGTAGTACATAGACTGATAGAAAATAAAAAATCAGAAGAGATAGAGTCAAGAGATGATATATAGATAGACAGATACCGCTAAAGGCGATGCCGGAGGAAGCAACGACGCAGGTCTGGATAACAGTGTTCTCTTGCCTGGTGAAGGGCTGTTTGAGGAGGCCATACCTGTCGAGGAACTTGGTCCAAGTCCTGACAAAGAAGAAGCCCAAGAGTCCAGCAGAGACGTTGAGAGAAGGAATAATACCGACGGTGAGGTTGAGCTTCATCACTATCACACTGAAGAGCACGCTCAGCACAAAGCTTATGAAAAACGCTCTCACAGTCAGCTGCTCCTTCCATGACGGCACTGTTAGCTTCTCAAATATCCTTTCCACTGAAAACTCCTCCTCCAACCCCAGATTCTCCTTCTCTTCCTCTTCCTCTTCCTCTTCCTCGTACTTGGTCTTCTTCTTCGGATCCAGCGCCTCAAGCTCTAAATCATCTTTTCTCAATCCTTGTACAAGTCCTGCTTCTGACGCATGATGATCCCTTTGGGACTCGAACTGATCATGATGTTGCTGCTGACTACCCATAATTAATATTATTTATGATAGCCTAATGTATATATGGGTACTCGTGAATGTATTGATCAATCTTGTTGATTTGAGTTTGAGGCCGGGCCACATGTAATGTAAGTGCTTTACCCTTTATATATAGAAGAGTACTAGTAAATATATAGAAGAGTACTAGTAAAGTAAAGCTGCTGCTGCTGCTGCAGAGAGAGAAAGAAACCGACTTTGTTGTTTTCTCTCTCTAGGCTAGGCCCATTCATTCTTGACTTTATTTATTACTTGCAAGTTGCAACAAATATATCGAATTATATTGAATGGCTGAGTTTGCCTTTTTTGTGTGGATGAAATGGCTGAGTTTGCCTTTGAATATATAATAACAAGAATATACACACTACCCTTCGTACTAGAATACAAATTATACAATTACTAATTTGATAAAGAGTGACAGTTGGTTCGTTGATTTTTCCAAGGAGTGAGAAACAGATGAGAGAGAGAGCTGGAAATTTAGAATTAATAAGATATACGATGAGTTTTAAGGTAGATTTTCCACATTGCTTGCGTTTCGATTGCATGATATCCATGGATTTAATAGAAATGTTGATATACACAATGCCACAAACAGGGTAGGGTAGGCGTACAGTTGATCATTTGGATTTTCTTCTTGGGTTGGGTTGGGCTGAGACTCAGAGAGACACACAGACACAGACACTGACAGCGAGAGGATGAGATCGTGAGAGGCTGGCTGAGTGACCATTGACTTATCAAGTCAACTATATTTGTCGTATATTTCTAATAATTACTATTATATTATACTAATAATTGTATACTATCTGTCTGTAAGACTGTAAATTGTACATAATAAATACCATACCATGGTATATGGCTCTCAGCCGGGACAGCCTCTCTCTATCAAGAAAGACCGCGTTTGGTTCATGAAAAAAAAAAAATTGGGGATGGAAAATCAATTGTTTTTCCATGTTTAGTAAGTTTAATCATGGAAAATGGTTGTCTGATACATGGAAAAAATAGTGGGGCAAAATGTAACCCTCCTACCCCTTGAGTTTCATTTTCCCTTCTCATGAGAAACTTTGGGAAAATAAGCCAGTATTAAACGAATATTTAAATGCATTAATTTTTTTATTTGATTTCATGTATGGGTATAATTGAAAATTTAAATAAACTTTGTTTTACATTCCTACACGAATCAAACATTGTAAATAAAATAAAGTTGTATTTTCTGGTTATTTTTTCAGCATTACCAAACATGGAAATGAATTTTCTATTTTCCATTCCTTAAGAAAATACATTGGAAAGTATTTTCCACCAAATTTTTTCCGTGAACTAAACAAGGATATCACTGTCCACATGTCACTCACTTGCAAGTTGTAAGTTGTCTCTCTCTCTCTCTCTCTCTAATTGAAATTGAGTTTATTTGCATTGGTCCACCAGTGCCCACGCATCCCCACGAAAGCCCTTTTCACGCCACACCTTGGAATCTACGGCATAATATATCACGTCCTTTTCACAAGTTTCAACTTCCAATACGTTGATTATCCTAATCCCATCTCCCCAAAAAATAAGAAAATAACTTTCATGGATTGGGAGCCAAACCAAACCAAACCAAACAAAAGAGGAATAGAAAATCAGCTCCTTAAATAAAATGATTGTGAATTAAGATGTTGGCTTGGACCAAACTAAAACTGATCCATCCATCATCTAATATATTATTGAAATTGAATTAATTAAGGCAAGCATGTGGAAATTGAATTAATTGGTATGTAGTCGAGTACTGGTGCCTTGTCCTTGTGGTTGTGGATGCATCGTTCGTCCATCCAACATCAACATTCATGTGATGTAGTTGCCATTTTCCAAGGGTTGAAAGAAACTTGTACGCGTACAACTTTGAAATGCAATGTGAATCAGAAGACCAGACAGCAACTAGCAAGCAACCAAGCATAACAAGAATACATATATAGACCAAGACGGCCTTCAATAAAATCCGCTCACTTTAGCAAACTAGTCGAACTTGCGGCCTTGACTCAATCAAAATTCGACTTCTTAAATGTTAGTTGTACATAGAGAGAATAGAAAGAATTTTCATAAGTGTGATTGTCACACCGCTGCATACAGCACGCTACGTGATTTTAGCAATTGAGGTACATTTTCTTTTCTTATGAAGAGCGCAAATTTCTCCCTTGTCCTCTAAATGATAACCTTTTGATTCCACTTTAAATGCCAGTGATGTCTCTTTCTCTCGAAATTATAGAATTAGTAATAATTGTCAAAGATACATAATATCTTCTTAGCTGGAACTTGGAAGATGCAAAAACAGAATATTCCGCCGGTTCTATATCAATATGCGTGAACTTTTGAACCAATAATATTGTATTTTGGGTTATATCGAGACAGTTTTCTTTTGTTTGATGAATTTTCCAAGAAAAGGATGTGAACACATGAATATAGGACTAGGGTTGTGAGACGATAACACAATTAGCACTGCCGAGTAAAGAGTACAAAGAAAGATGACTCTCTCTGTAAATTTTTAAATAAAAACATGTCACTTTCAAGACTCCATATATAATCTATTCACAACTCCATGGGCTTAACTGCTGCTGAGTGCTTGCTTTAGCTGGAGCCTGGAAGAACCACTCAGACTCAGCATTCACATCCTGTTCGGGGACAGACACATATTGTCCCTTGTATATATTTATCAAACCCATGTATGACCAAAATGCCAATTATTTTGTGAATCTCAATAATTATACAACCATGTAAAGAGCAAGATTTAGAACAAAACAATATTAACAAGTGGCCAAAAACGTACGGATATTATACAAACATCTCAGTGAGACTAAGTTCAAAGACATCAAACAGATTCAATACACGGATCCCTGACCGACACAAGCACACCAAGTCTCTTCTTCAGCGTGCCTCATACTGAACAACTGCAAAAACAACCATGAGTCGTATAAATCAAGCAAAGAAACAAAAGAGCAAAGAAACATAGATAGGGTGATTAACATAATCAGCAAAGAAACAAAAGAGCAACACTTGGACCGGAAATTGGACTCACAACACCATCAAAATGCTAGCCAAAAGGCATTCCCAAGTGCTACAAAAAGGACACTACAATGCAATAGGAAAAATATATATGTATATGATAGCAATACAACTTGTGTGTGCGTGTGTATATCCCTTTTTTGTTTGTGTTTCAAATAGGACTACAGGATCGATGGATGAAGTTCTTTCCAAAGAGGAGCATATTAATATAACTTGTGCATGTATCAAATGTGTGATACTTGTGCTGGTAGTTAGTATAACATGGTGATCCCAATATGACAGATAAGAAAAGAAATGAGTCTACATATAGCACATTACTATAGGGCTAGCATATAACTTAATGCTTTACATAAACAAAATGGCACAACAAAACAATTGCCTTTAATCAATCAGTTTAACTCTCTAGGAAGAAGAAAAATAAAGCAGGGAACAAGAGACATATGCGTGTATTGTTTTGTTCGCAAAACAGATTGTGATTAGCCTACACCAATATGCACCAATACTGCTAGACTAATCACTGACCATAAATAATCAGTAGGAATTCCGGACCAAATTCAATTGAAGGCGCATAATTGGGTGCAATGCTTTAATTGAATTTGCTCTAGCAAGCCCACTGAGACAGCATTGGTGCATCGTGGTGTAGGCTAATCACAATCTGTTTTATGCACATAAAACCATATCCTCAAAGCCAGAAGCCCTGCGAATAGAGCAGACTTTGTTGGGAGAGGTCCCCGCTTTGCGCCCGACAGTACCTCGAGGGTTAGTCCCCGCAATCGCGCGGGGGATACCTTGGTTTTCACCAAAAAAAGCCAGAAGCCCAAAAACTAACTAAAACCATTTGGCATCAACATAACTACCTTGTACACACCCTATCACTTTACTTACAAGTAATTGTCTGTTGCCATGGTGTAATAAGTTTTTAATTAGGACTGGAAAGATAACAGCTATTAATTACAAAACATGAAGAACGCATGAAATGTAAAGCATATCCACATCTTACACTAAAAGGGCGGCAACCAGAAGAACACAGTGTTTTTTACCAGGCTTTTAAAAGTTCAACTCACAATACCATTCCAATCACCGAAATCCATAACGGACAACTGAAATTTGATCATTGAGAAAACCCAATCCCCAAATTTATGTACTTTCCAATAGCAAGTAATGAATTGAATATGCAACAATTCAATTCAAGCATATACAAGTTAATGTATTTCACCCAGCAGAAAACGAGCATTGAAAAAGTTGATTAAAAAATCGCAATAAAAGGAAAGGATACATCATGCATGGTGGTAAGGTAGGTAATATGAATGAAATCTATAGAATGAGGATAGAGACTTACTGCGACGAGTGCGCTTCTTGTATAAGATACGGTAACCGCATTCACGGCATTGAATCACATCGTTTGGCTTCAAGGGAATCTCCATCCCACAATCTACAACAACACAAACACAAGAGAACACAAACACTAATTTAGTGTCTATTTGCTAGCCTAGCCAGCCAACTTTCTCCAACAACAAACCCAAAATCAGTACCTCCACAGATGTAGTAGACTGGCTCTGGCTGCGGATCCATGAGATTACGTTCAAAAAGGGCTTTCTACTTCTAGGGTTTATGATATTCGAGCAGAATTAGTTTCGTTTTGGGGGGTTCTTGTTTTTGTCTGTATTGTTTATACGCGTGTGTGTGTGTGTGTGTGTGTATATACGATATGCATTGATTGTTTGATGGCTCCATCATGGTCGGAAATTGGTTTGGACTTGGAGTTCTAAGCCCAAACAAATTGGACTGGATTGTTAGTCAGATAGCAACTTGGGTTTTAGTGACAGCCGAAGCTGGTAACTTGTACACCCAACCCAACGGCTTTTAGTGATAAAATTTCAAAATGCAAGGGAAAGAAAGAGTAGGGGGACGAGGGTGCTGCTACCAAACCAAACCAGTCACAAGTTTGTTTTGTGTTTGGCAACTTGGCAAATTGACACTCGCATCGCATTGCAGGCAGTGGACTTATTACTATTAGAGCATCATAATGATTGTTCAATAATTCAAGTATCTATTGAATTGAACGGCAGTTTTACTTGAAATGGTATAGTTCAATAGCTTCAATTTATTAGTATGTGAGTCGTATGATTAGCTTCTATTGCAATGAACTAGATCACATCTCTTGCAAGTGAGAATTTAGAAAACTATATGTTTTGAACCCATACAAAATACAACATGTCATGTTCATAGTCTCGTAAATAAGACCAAAGAAAAAGAAAAGAAAAAAGCTTGGCTCCTTAGAAACCAAACCTTTTGAATCGGATGAAATGCCATATCATCCTTATCCCCATTATTTGAGAGTAGAGAGAGATTATTCAATTTATTCCAGATCCAGACTACTAAGTCCTTTTCTATAAAACAAAAACAAATGCTGTCTGCCAGTGCCTACCATTGCCAAGACAATTAACTATTAAATAAGTGGGCAAGGCAACCTCATCCATCCTCCACCTTACCTAATAATAATTAATAATTATATGGTCAAAGAAAACATTATTATTACTATTATTATTCTATTTAATTTAATTTTAACCCAAATGGTAATGGAGTTTATGATTATTATTTTTTGTTGTTGCGGTCTAGTCGTGAAGTAAGTTTCTGGGAAACTTGTTTGTTTAAATTTTAAAAAAGGAACTGCATGCAATTTGCAGACAAACAAAAGCAGAGCAGCCCTGGGCTGGCAATGGCATGTGCGCAAAACATTACCGAAAATACTAACTTGTTGCTGCAGCCTGCAGGCAGGTTGAGCTAGTAATATTTTAGTGAAGGATGCATGTACAGTATCTCTTTCTTCTGTATGTATGTGCTATGTGGCTATGTGGCTATGTGCTGTTCATTATTTATGCAGCATATATAATATAAGTTATAACCTGAATGAGTTCATTAAACCAATATTATAATTAGAATTTAGAGTAGCTAAGCTCACTACTAAGTTTGTTTATCAAATTTTACTCATCAAGTCTTTTCTTTTGATTTTTGATTTTTAATTTTCAATTTTCAATTTTCAAATATGGGACTCTAATTTCCATGTATCTATCAATCAGTCAAATAACCACAAATTTAGTGACTGTGTGTTGTTCCAACTCAGTCTGTCAGCCAGCCATCTTTTGTTGACTTGGAAGTTGATGGAAAAGTGAAGCTACTTTGAATTCCAAGCTCGCCCATTGCCACGAAATTGCTTTGCTTACTGCTGCATCATACATGGCATGTTGATTGTTGATGTTGCTTCTAGAAAGAAAATGTGTATATATATATATATATATGTTCAACTTCAACAGTCAGTCAACAACTCCACAAGGAGAATCTTTGAAACTTGTATCTTGTATTATATTAATTTATATGGATAGCATTCATTTGTATTGTTATTGTTGTATCTCTCCTTTTATTAAGTAGCTAGCTAGAGATAGAGAGGAGAGACTCAGACTTTTCAAGACCAAGAGCTCATTGACATTTGCCAGCCGCAGACAAGCTGCACCAGGAGGCAGGAAGAAAGAGGATCTTCATACATGGAAAGGAAACACCATTTTGCAGATGAATATGTTGCAAATCCGTATATGAACTCGTATGACACAACACCAGAGACAGACAGGCAGCAGCAACACTCTTCTCTATCTGAACCTATCAGCTTATGCCACAGTCCATCTTCTTCAGATTGCTCTTCCTCCTTCAAAACCAGTAATTACATACTCTTGCTACTTTACTTGATCTTGATGTATGTATGTATGGGTGTGTGTAGCTAATAATTTAATAATTATGTATAAATAAATAAATATCCAATTTGTTGCAAATTGCAATCAAGTAAGTATATTGCCTGGCTAACAATATAATATAATATAATATATAGATGAAGAAGGTGATTCAGGGAAAGGCCTCAACACCAAATTTGGGAAGAAAAGTAGCAGTTTCGCATACAGGATACGCGAGCACGGTGAGAAACTCATTTCTCAACCAAGATGATTCATTAGATATCGGAAGACTTGACTTGATTTGACTCTAAATATTAATGCAGTGAAACTTGGGCCCAAGCTGTCTGAAACTGTCAAGGGGAAGTTGAGTTTGGGGGCAAGAATTATTCAGAAGGGTGGAAGGAGGAATATATTTAAACAGATATTTGGTGTAAATGAAGGAGAGGAGCTGTTGAAGGCCTCCCAGTGCTACTTATCAACCACGGCGGGTCCTATTCCTGGCCTTCTTTTTATTTCCACTCAAAAGCTTGCTTTTTGCAGTGAAAGATCCATCTCTGTCCCTTGTGCTGCAACTGCAACTGCAACTGCAACTGGACAAGTCGTTCGAACGCCTTACAAGGTTTTTATTCGCTTCTTACTCTTCTTCTAATATCTAATCTTCTATTCTAATTTATATATACGAAGACGACAACTTATATAAACGGGCGGAATGGATTTTTTGCAGGTTCAGATACCAATAAGGAAGATCAAAAGAGCTAACCAAACCGAGAATGTGAACAAACCACAACAGAAGTACATAGAAATAGTTACCGAGGATGATTTCGAGTTCTGGTTTATGGGATTCTTACGTTATGAAAAAGCTTTCAGAAATCTTGAAAAGGCCATTTCCATTACCAACCAAAACTAGAACAAATTTATAAAATCCATCCATCAAACGGACTCGACTCCTACCATTAAGGGTACATGATATGTGTTTTTGGGAACGCTGCAAACAAGCTACCTCTAGCTCTCTTCTGTGGTATTCTTTCTTGTATTTTCCTCCTTTTTCGTTTCTTGGCTTTTTGATGTCTGCCTGCCTACCATGTAATAATCATGTCAAGTTGATATACGCTATTGTTTCATGGTTTGGTTCTGAAATCTGAAATCTGAATTCTGATGATGTGATGAGTTTGATTTTCAGGAAATTTTGATATAAAATAAGGACAAGCTGAATTGTCGTAACCTTGCCTGGTAGTAATTAAACAAAAATCTTGCGGAATAAATTAATTCAATATTACCAACAACAAATGGACATGGCTTCTTAAACGATTAATTGGCGCAACGCAACCGTAAAATAAAAGGCGCTTTTCTGTAGCAGCAGCTACTCAACTCAACTCGCTGACAAACTAACAGACTTGATCACATTAATCAACCCACCACCACTCGGTAATATTTTGTCTCCTAGTTGCTACCCTAAACTCCCTCTAAATCCAAAGTCTAATATAAAAAGTTAATTAAAATAAAACAACATATGCAACCACCTAACTACATTCAAACAGGATGCTTCTTTTAACACATCGACAGTCACAAGACAATAATCATTAAACACAATAATCAATCAAGAATTAGAAAATAGTAAAACTAGATTTTAACCAAAAGATAAAAGTAACTACTCTCCAGAGTATCACAAGGAGAATCACATCAACCACGGTCAGACTTTTAAAAAAAGGGGTAAAAGTAAAATTAAAAACTTTCAGAAAATTGAAAGTATATAAAATGACACAAAATCCCCTTGAAACTCTCTAAGAAGCTTGCTTCTCCTCCTCCTTGTCCTTCTCCTCTGCAGCGGCTTCAAAGGTCTCGCCAGCAACAAGGTCAGGGACCTCGTCATCATCATCCTCTTGTGCAGCGGTTCCACCACCACCACCACCAGGTGCTTGCTTCTGGAACTGCTCTGCCAGTTTCTTCAAATTGTCCAAGTTATCTGGCCCTGAAAATAATAAAAGGTGTCATAAGGAATTCCCCAACTCCTCTTTAAGCAAGAACAGAATAAAAGGATCACAAGCACACTTACCCAAGTGGCTGATAATACTGGGAAGAATATCTTGCAACTCTACAACAGAGAAAGATCATATGTCAAGTTATATGCCAATATGACAAAAATCTAAACAAGGTCAATCAAAAGGTAATAAAAGGCTCAATGCAGCATAATATCCAGGCACAAACACAAACAAACATGTATATATGTCTATTGTTTCAAAACTCAGGTAGAGTTCTCTTACCAGATAGTACAACATTCAAAACAAATTTCCAATCCAAAGCACATATTGACAACCAAAACTCAAGAGTAAATTGATTGTGTAAATACACTATGGAAGCCCATAACACCAATATTCTATCCATTTTTCTATATTACTATTAAATTGAAAATATAGAAGACACCAGAACGGTTAACAAGTTCAACCATCACTTCAAATTTAAAAGATAGAGAATAAATATTGGCATACTCTTTGTCTGAGGAGAACCGCTAACAACCCAAGTATTGGCAGCAATAGAAGCTTGAACTGAAATGTACAAGGAAAATCATCAACTATTAGAGAAAATCAAAATATTATAAGCTTGAACTGAAATGGACAAGTAAATCAAAATAAGGATCAGAGTTCTGGCAGGTTAGCTTCACCTTTGGGGTTTATGAACTGGATGACAACATCATCCTTAAATATGTTAACTTCCTCGATTGCAGGAATAGCATTCACCCCTATTCTCTTAAGGGTGCTCTGAAGCCTTTTGTCGTCAGTGGTAGTTGTCTTGTGAACAGCCTTCTTCTTTCTGAAATTGGGAACATAAATTAATATACAAAACCATGTACAAACAAGATGAAGATCACACGAAAAACATGTGATAATTACAAAGAACTGCACGAATGTGTAAGACTTATGACTCAAAACAGGAGCAGAATAACCCATCAAAATCTCCTCCAGAGTAGGCTCTCTACTGAAAAAGCAATTACACCAATTGGAGACTACCTTTCTGTTATGAGCTCCTTAAACTAGGGAACTATCTGGTGTAATGAGCACCAAATGCAGCATACACTAAATGATTGTATTTAAATTCACAGTGCGCCACATAAAGATTGCATGTTACTTTTCTTTGTTGGTTCTTTAGTACAACTGCAATGGTTATACAAATCAATAAAAGATAAAACTTTCCGTTCCCAATGGGAAGAACAGACTATGAAAGTCTTAAAAAATTACAAGAATAAGAAGAAAAAAAAAACATTGTAAAACAACAAAAGACAACAGTCCACTCAACATGCCATCCCTAACTGCTTCACATAAGGAACTCAAATTGCAAATCAATAATTTGATGAAGCAAACTACTTCATCAGGTGCTCAATATAATGCATGCAGACCAAATGAGCATCAACCATATTAAGTGACATATTAGGCATTAAACTGGCCCACATACAACTGCATGCATATTTAACTCATAATCATTAAGACTAAAACTTGATACTTCAGCCTCTGTGACTCAACTTGGTAGAGAAAAGGAGTTTCAAGCTTAAAAGTTAACCCACCTCCTCATGCTACCCTTTCCACCAGTGCGAACTGCACCGGCCATCTTCATAAGTTTCTCCCGATTCATCTGCATAAAAAGTGGGTACTGTAAGATGAAGGGATGAGTTTCAATTGAAAATAATTCAAGATCCAAAACATTGCATCTAAAGTTAAGTAGACTGTGTTTTACGCAATAAAACCTCCGACACGACTGAGAAATTTGTTTTACAATGTCTCAAAAAAAATTCAGAACGAATTTTACAATGTCTCAAATAAAGAACAAAGATTCTATTTTCTGTTATCTTGTTTCTTCAATCTACTAAGAAAACCAAGCATCTATGAAGTGCCAACATGAAACTGATGAAAGAATGCATCAATTGTACAATTTTACACACTGGCAACGAAACCAAAACCATGTAGTTCAGAACACCATCCAAATCCCATAAACATCAACAATTATCTCCAAAACTGAGTTTATCTTAATTAAATTTAAGAGAACAATACATATATACAAGACTGTGATACAAGTAGAATTGCGGAATCTGGATAATATGATACCGGTAACACTGTCATGGTAAGAACCCGCTTAGAATTAAAATTTTGGAATTTTCACATCCTCGAACACAGAGAAATACAAAATCTATAATAATGGAAGACACTTCCAAAGTATTAGTAATAATATATGTGAACAATACGAGCACAAGTGTAGCAAAATTGCAATCCCATCAAGTAAAGCATTTCAAACATAATCTTTGGCTGCGCAAACAATTAATAAACCAACCAGAAAAGTACACTACAATACTGGTGGCATAATTGCATTACCCACCAAGTAAAAGCAGCCCTTCTGGCCGCCGAATGAATTTGAAAGACATAAAAAGTAAAATAACAAAGAAACTGAAACTTCAGTTGATGATCAAGCGCCTGCCGGATAACCCTCATACCTTTATATATCCGTGTTACCCAGAAAACAAGCATAAACAAAATCGAAACAAAGAAGAAGAGCCCTAACTCAGAAAGCGATACAGATACAATACATGATTAAGAAGTATAACGGAAGTGCGAAAGAGCTCACCTTTGAGGCTTTGGCCTTCCTAGGGTTTTTGTGTGTGGGATAAGAAGAGATAAAGATTAAGAAGCCAAGCCTTCAACCTCAGACGGCGCTAAGGTTAGGTTTTCTCCTCACTATAAAAGCCTCCTCTGGCTTGTGCTCAACATCCGACGGTCACCAAACAACTTTGATTGCCACGTGGCACAACTGTGATGGGTTTGATTATCACCTCGTTTCTGATGCGAAGTAGCGTGCGTTGGTGTTTGATTATAACAAATTTAGGCAAAAGTTGAAAGAAAAAGAAAAAAAAGAGTTCGATACTGATTTATTTTATAGATTATTATAAATAAACCCAATCCTAGGCATGTATTTATAAAATAACCCACATACTATTTAAACATAGAAACACACCCAAAATCAACCCCAAAATCAACAATTGTATATTTTTTGGGTGTGTTTATAAATGGATTTTGAGTGTGTGTAATGATGGGTTTTGGGTGTGTTTCTATGTTTAAATAGTGTGTGGGTTTTTTTATAAATACATGCCTAGGATTGGGTGTTTTAGTGAAACCCCCTTTATTTTATTTAAAAAAAATTAAGAGATGCAAAAAAAGTATTTGGAAAAATACAAATACTTTTTTTCGTTTTTTTTATGCGGCAAATACTTTTTTTGTTATAAACATACAATCTCAACATTAAACAATATTCAAAGTATCTTCCAATTGTCAACGGGTCTAATCTAGTGAAAAATGGCTTTGACTCACTTCCACCCATTTGCCTTTTGTCATGGCAAGGGGGGGCTAGTGCAGCTACATGAATAGTGGTTGCCCTTGCAAAAAGTTGTGGTGTTTCCATTCATTTCCATGGCAACAACTATTCTCATGAGATATGAGGAGAGAAATTTGTATAGAGGTTTGGTGTGGGAAGTGAAAAATATGACTAAGTATTTATTTTATAAAAAAATCCTTTTTTTTTTTTTTTTTTATAGATTTTTTAAATTTTTTTTGTCCCTGACATCAGCAAACCCAAGCTTGAACTCGAGCTCATCTTGCCTGAGGGCTAGCCTGGTTTTGTGGGCCCCAGCAACTGTCCTAGCTAGCTCTAGCCGCTGGAATCACTTTTTGGGCCTTCCCCCTCTCAGCCCGAGCCGTCGGAAAGGCTCTTACAAACTAAAAATTGGCATCGTAGTTTTGTGTGTGTGACTCCCCTATAGTTTGGACTATCGCTTGTACTAAAAAAAAATTATCATCCAATTGTCGATGGTTCTATTTTACCGGATTTACAAATTTTTTGCATGTTGAAGCGATGAGTTTTTGTTAAGTACTTACGTGGGTTATTCAGTTGCAATTTTCAGGGATAGAAGTTGTGGTTGGGGCTTGTTCAGGTGGTATGGTATATTTAAGCTTTTGGGTTGCTTTATGGCTTTTGATTTGTGGGCTTTGTTTGAGATTATACTTAATTGTGATAATGTGAGCTAGTAGTTTTAGTGCAACTTTTATCCGCTTTAGTTTTGTTTTTAGCATGTTCGTTTGTTGTCCTCTTTGGATATGTGCTTTAGATGTCATATCTTTAATTGTATTGTTGAAGTTAATCTAATGAAGTTTCTTTTGATTAAAAAAAAAAAAAAAAAGATAAAAGTTGAATGTCACTCTAAGGCTATACACTTACATTAGAATATAAGATCTATTGTCCAATATATTTGGTATTTGATTGAGCATATTTCGTAATTTTATGTTCGACGTATTTTAAGTGAAACAGATATGGGACATTCTAATGATTATTCATGTATTTATTGTTTAGATGACTTCTAGCTCTTTCACATAATGTGGTATATAATTTGTGATCTCTCTTACATTACTCTTTTATTTGACTGATTAATCATGTGGCTTGAAAATTTTAAATAAAAGTAAGTCCCTTTTAATTTAATAAAAAATATAGGGAAATTTGCAGAAATACTACCTGAATTTTTAGGCATATGCGAGATTACCACATGAATTTTTAATTTTCATTATTAACCACCTAAACTTTATAAAGTGTAGCAATTTACCACCTGCGTGTAACTCCGTTAAAATTTCCATTAAGTCAAATTACTACAATTAAAAAAATTTAAAATTTTGAAACTAATTAAAACAAAAACAAAAATCAAGCATATTATCTCTCGCCTCCCCCTGCATCTTTCTCCTCCACTACCAATTTGCAATTCAAGGTGAAGTCTTACAAAAAGTGAAAGCTATGCTCAAAGTGCTAAACATTAAAACCGAGCAATCATGACGTTTTCCTTTTTTCTTTAGGCTGATAAAATCCAACTTGGCAATTAAATATTGCTGAATTTGTTATTGATTTGCAGAGTTTGGCCTCTTCTTTGTGCAGTTGAGAGAGAGAGAGGAGTTTTAGGGTGGGGGAGGAGGGGGCTGTCGGGGAGTGTAGGAGAAGGGGTGTGGGGGAGGTTGGGGTATAATTAATTAGGTTGAATTCCGTTTTTTTCTTTCTAATTATGTTCCTTTTAAAAATGTAAGTTTTTAATTATAATAAATTCATGAAAATGTCCTTTAAAAAATATCACATATTCAACATGCAACTTTATTTTATGGATATTTTAACGGAGTTATAATAGAAGGTAAATTGCTACATTTTACAAAGTTCAAGTGGTTGAAAGTAAAAATTGAAAGTTCATGTGGTAATTGTACACATGGCTAAAAGTTCAGATGATATTTATGCAAATTTCTCAAAAATATATGTATCGACAAAATGCAACCCAAAAAACAAATATTATAGCCATTTAATAAAAATATATTTGTTTGCACATAAACTACTCTATGAAATTGTATTGGGGATGGATACGATTGCGTACGATATGACTCCCTTCCAAAACCAAAAACCATATTGTAGATATAACGGTTAGTTTTGGTTCGGATTTATGCACAAATCATCATATTAACTGAACAAATCTAAGGACGGTTGGATTCGGTTTGAGCTCACACCCTTTTTTTTCCCCCTAACGTTTTTGGAGCACAAAAATCAAAATATAATTGTAGCAAACTATCGAATGGATATTGATGAAATACGACAGGAAATATAATATAAACAATTGACAAAAATATCGATACAAAGAGAAATTAAATTATGGAAATTTTGAAAGAAAATAAAAATAAAAATCTAAAACATTTACTCAGTAAAAAGATTACCGGATAAATGAATGCGCTATGTTGTTTTCAATGAAAGTAATGTTATTTATTGAATGTTACAAAATATATGGGATGAGCTTGAAATAAAAACATGATTTAGAAAGAAAAGTTAGATAAAAAGTGAAGCTTAATCTTCCATACTACGTTTGGTTCATCGGAAATGGCCACACATGGGAAGTGGTTGTCCGGCATATAAGGGGGAAAATGAAACCCTCCACCCCTCTTGGGTTCCATTTTCCCTTTCAATAGGAAACTAATATTAGCATTAAATGCACATATTTCATGACCATTTTGTCCCTATAAACAATTTATAATTACAATATAACATTAAATGCATAATTTTTTTTTAATCTAATATGGATATAATTGAAAAATTAAACAAACTTTGTTTTACATTTATAAGCAAACCAAACATGGGAAATGAAATAAAGTGGTATTTCCTGATTGCTTTCCTAGCACTACCAAATATGGGAATATAATCTTCCATTTTTCATCCCTTGGAAAAAGAAATGAGAAATATTTCCATCAAAACCTTTTTGCAAACCAAACGGGACCAAAGGGTAAAAAGGTAATTAACACACATTAAAAAAAGAGGTCTAATTTCTCTTACTACTAGTAATAACTACCTCACATGCCAAATTAAACTTAATTCAATTGATAATTATCTACAAATTAGAGGTCCTTTGTTCCATTTTCCCCTCCCTCAAAGCCAATAAGTTAGAAGAAAAAAAGCACTTTGACATCTTCACTTGTTAATAAAAGAAAAATTAAATTCTATAAAAAAGAAGAAGAATTAAATAACAAAAAAGAAACGGAGTACAAATAGACAAAAAAGCGCTAGTATGTATATATATTCCCTGTGGTGTAATTGAAAATATATATATTCTTTTAATCAACGGTTTGAAAATATAGATAACACCATGTTTCTAAAATGAAGCATCTGCGCAGTGAAGCTGCGTTAGGAACTTGGTAGAGCAAGACTCCGCAGTTTCCTTTTTGCAAGTGCCACCAACTTCAAAAGAAGCCTTCTTAATAAGAAATTCAGTCGCTCGATCTAAATTATCATGTTCGCCTTAAGCTTTGATAGAACTGAGTTCAAGTTTGGCACTTTCTTGATGCTGCATGTCGTCGGAGAAAACATGAGATTGAAAAGTAAAAGACACCATATATATGTTCTGAATCTGATTTGGAAGCCGTGACAAGCTTTTGAATAAGATGAAAAACAAATATCCATAATGAAAATAAACTTGTACGAGGTACAAACTTGGGAACTACTTTTCTTATGTAAATAAATAAGCTGACTAGGTACACTGAGTAAGGTCCTTCAAATTTCCCACTCCTTTGCAGCCTCAAACAACAGGCATGCACACAAACTTCCTATCCTGGAAAATATGCAGGTAGCTTCCAATATATATATCATGACATCACTACTCCCGAACCCATTGCTCTCTAACCAAGCATCGAAAAAAGGTATGCGAAACTGCATGCAAGCCACAGAGTTTACTTACGGGAAGACTCCTGCCACTTACCCTAAAGTATTTTCTAGAAAACATCGCACCAATTCCTATCCCCTTCCACTACCATATTGTAGTGGATCGGATAAATCAAGTACTAAACAATATGGCGGGATCCAAGATCTACGACACTAGTTTCGAATCCAAATCCACCGCTACTAATGAACAAAGTCACCATCAACTCAGCTATAAGCTCAAGATCTACGACTCTATTTTTTAGAGCTTATAACACACTGATAATCATGTAACAGAGATCTCTCATACACAAAGATATGAATGAATTTATTTTTTAAAAAGAAATGAAAATAAAAACTCACTTGTACATAGTATCGCCACCAGAAGACTTCCTGTGTATCCAATCTGGAACATGCCTTTCAAGAAGATCAATCTGTTCTTCAACTTCTCCTGCAAAGAAAACAAGGTAAAGTCATGAAACACCTACTTTTGAGATGCAATCAAACATGTACCAGTAGTTAGCACATTGATACGCACTTCTT